CGTTGTAGGTATTACATTCTCACTTCACCCAACCATGACCCATTTCAGCAGGAATGAACTATATCAGTATGTGTCAGTCAGATGTCATACAAAATTAACAAATTATGGAATGTTGACTTGAAGGGATCACTTTTCATAGAGAGGCGCGCATGCGCTTGGTGTAAAAACAGACACATCTTCATTTTCATGCCGGGACAAGTCTACCTTTCCATGTTTGAGAATTTGGCAGGCCACGTTGCGCCTCACTCTGCGTTCTGGTGGATGGAGGGCTTTTGTTTTTTAGAACTCATTCACTCCCAAAGACGTTTTTAAACGTCTTTTCAGACTTGGTCCAGAATTGGCTGGTACTGAATGAGTTTTAATTCATACATGCCCCCTGCACAGGGCCCTATTTTGGTAGACAGGCGCACATGGCAAGTGTACTTTAGACTGTTTTTGTTTGGGAATTAGCGGGCTGAGGGGGTTTCTATTGCTCATCCCCGGCACCCCTGTCAATTTGGCGACAGACCAGATAAAAGCAGGTCTAAGTTGTGGCGCAGATGCTGACATTAAAAGGCAGAGGAGGCAGTCTTTGATGGGATCAAGTTTCACACTTGACTGCCGCCTGTAAAATACATTTTATTCCACCATTTAAATGACCGCATTTAGTTAGCGACGAACAACGCTTTCCCTTGGCATATTGTGTTACTGCGCTCGTAACCCACCTTACAGCCATTGCCTTTGATGACTGCAGGAGAGTGAGAAAACTGTTCGCTCAGCTTTGCTACTTACTTTTATGATTTGTTTTATGAGTATGTACAGCCTAAATCACATAATTCCACCATAAGCAGAGCCACTGTGTTTTTATGCTGTGTGAAAACACACTTTATAATTGTTTTGGAAGATATTATTTTAGTGTCGAAATACATACTGTTGGTGCACTGCTACTGCAAATCACTATTTAACAGTTTAGACTGTTAGACAGCTCCGCTCATGGCTTCCTGGTCTCCTCATGCTTGTGTGAGTTCCTCTGGCTTCCTCAATACTACAACGCATGTTAGCAGAGCTTGGTGGTTGGTGGTTGGCAGTAGGAGGGAGCACTTTAACTCCTGCATCGCAACTCTGCATGAACTTTCTATGCCACACTGGGCGACCCTGAGCCAACCTACGACAGTGTATTCAACACAAATAGGACAACTTATACCAGGGGTGTCCAAACTCAGGTCTCATGGACCGCTGTCCTGTGAATTTTTCATCTGTCCCCGCTGCAACACATCTGATTCAAATGATCAGAATATATCCTGGTCATTTGAATCAGGTGGGAGAGATGGAAAACAGGTGTTATAGCAGACCTCTAGGATCGTCTGACTTATACTGTGGGAGAGTTGGGTTGCGTTTTGAGTCACCAGAATCAAGCGGAATTGGGAGTAACATTCCCATTTTCCCAGAATGGAAATGCAAGAATTGGAATCAAGAATCACAGACTCCAAATTGTCCCTATTATACTGGCTTGCGACAGTACAGAGTTTACCTTGATATTTTCCCAAAGTAATCATGGATGGAATCCAGCTCACCTCCGATCCTATTAAGCACAAGCACACAATTATGGAACTCTTTTTTTTTTTTTTCTTTTCTGACACACTAACAATTGACATATCCCCCATAAGATTGAAGCTTGGACAAGAATGGGCATGGGAGAGTGAAAATTTCTCGCATTAGCATCTGTAAGTTTCAGCCAAGGCCAAACCCTCAGCTAAAATGGAACAACCCTGCCTTGGCAGAAACTTCCCATTAGTCACCGGCACCATCATTAGAGGTCTTCCTCTAAAAAAGGGCATCCAGCCCCATCCGTCAGATGTATTGATGCTGTCAGCCCTTACTGTGGTGTCCGTCCCCAGCACAAAGTGTGGAAGACATTTTATCCTTCCGCAGGCAGACTCTTTCCCCAGGGAGGCTGGAAGGTGATCCTGTGCTCCTAAAATGACCGAGCACTCCCTGGAGGACATACTAACAATATGTTTTTACTGCTTGGACATGGAAGTGATCAATTCTCTCTCTTTGCCGGCTGCAAAATGGGCCATGTCCCATTCTACTGCACAAAACACACACACAAAAGCAGAAGAAATGGCCCTTCACGCTGAAGTATTGTTTCTCCAAATTAAGGTTGGGACGCAGTTTGTGTGTTTTATTGATTTATTTACTTGTGAAAAATGAGAGTAAAATAGTGTAATCAGGCACTTTTAGATTCTATCCAATTATTTTCAATCCAATTTTTCCTTTTTGGGATCTCTAGTAGCTAACTGGAACCTATATTGGACAGTGGGCATGAGGCAGAACTTGTATGTGCACTGATTTCAGTGTGGGGCTTGTTAGGTCTTGGATGATCGCAGTGAGGGTGTCGGTGACGTCTGTGTAAGCTACCCATGCATTTATTTATTTTTTGTGCCAATTCCATAACATTGCTGATACATGTCACATCTTGTGAATGTGTGGAAGAGGGGCAGTGTTTGGCATTACTATGATCGCCGCATTTCTGAGATGTGGTGGATTGGAATACTTTTATATGCCTTCCCTGATCCAACAACAATCCACAGCTCTGAGTGTCCTGGATCCTCCTGGATCAGATTGATGGCCAGCACAACCACATTGCTATCTACTGTCCTTAGACTTTGCGACTGGTGCACATTGACAGATGGATCCATTGAAAGGCATCTGTTGCAGAAGGATGTATTTGCATAGCATAAGACCCATTTCAACTATCTTCTTCACCTCATCTTCAGTCACTTGAAGGCAAGATGTCTCAGCCACAGCAGCACCAAGTGTCTTCTTTCTCTAGTGGACTTTGTAAACATCACGGCCCTCTGAGAAAGCAGGCCCAAGTTTCTCGAGGAGGTGCACATACAGTATGTTCCACTTCACTCTGAGCCCAGGTGCTCTTGTCGTAAAGTTTCCTCTAGTCATCTAGCTTAAAGGTAGATGCATAATTCTGCACACACGCTACAAGTTGAGCTACAACGAATGGATCATATTGCATTTGTTTTTTGTTTTTTTCTCATTGTTTAGTTTTGTGTAGGAGGGTGCATGATCATTAATATCTCCAGTTCCGGCATCAACTGCAGTGTTTAGTCTGTCATAAATTGCATCGAAAGACCAAATGTATTTTTTCACTTGATCTTTTCAGATCATCCACAGTTGCTGCCTACTATCATTTTAAGCTGTTGTACAAATAATGGTGGATCCTTATCAAAAGATCAATGTTAGCCTGCAGCTTTTGGCCGTTGTTGAGACAGCATTGTTTTCAACTGAAAACAGGTACTGACTGTATGGTTTTGTGTAAATACGCCGCCAAACAGTCACAATGAGTGATACAGGATTTAGGTAGTTAAGAAATATTTTCCCGTGTTTAATGAAATTATAGTAATTGCAGTCGGCTGGGTAGCGCATCCGCCTCACAGTGCAGAGGTCATTGGTTTGAATCCGGCCCTGGGCTTCCTATGCGGAATTTGCATGTTCTCCGCATGCCTGCATGGGTTTTCTCTGGGTACTCCTGTTTCCACCCACATTCCAAAAACATGCATGGCGGGATTAATGGAACACTCTAAATTGTCCCGAGATGTGATTGCGAGCGCGAATGGTTGTTCAGGGTGTACCTTGCTTATTGCCCGAGGACAGCTGGGATGGCCTCCAGCACGCCCGCGATCCTCGTGAGGATAAGCGGATTAGAAAATGGATGGATGAAATTTATAGAGAGGCACCTGTATGTCAGCTTCGAAACCCAGACATAATAAAGGGAATTCAAAAGATGTTTTTTCAGGGAGGACTCTTCAGTGCTCTATTTTATTTTACCCTCTGTGGGTTAAAAGTTCAGTACTGATTTCTCACTCACTATTTTTATTGTGCTGGGGGTTTGATGACTCTCGGGGGGGAGTCTACACCAGATGTACAGGACAGTGAGGTGCATGCTGTGCTAAGCATTTTTTCCCACTCAGACAAAACTCAAAAAGAACAATAATTGAGAAATGACATGGCAAAATATCTGCTTAAAAATGTTTTTGTGTTGTTACTTTTCATGCGCCTGACTTGTGTAATTCACACCCACATCAATCCCATCTCTAATTAACCTAACACATGTTTTTGGAATGTGGGAGGAAGTACCTGGAGAAAACCCACGCAGGCAGTGGGAGAACATGCAGGAGGCTCTGAGTCAAGAATTAAACCTGCAATCTGCTGATTATGGGGCATGTCCTAACCACTAGGACCACCAAACAGTTCTTTAGAGGGAATGAAATATCAGGAATTAAAGGTTCCTACTACTTTTGGCCAAATGCATCGAAAAGAGGAGATAGTACTTCCCAACCTGGCGCAGCTCTTAAAGTCTTTGGGAAGTCATAACTTGTAATAGTTCTTATCCTGGATCCTATTATAGTCTGCATGGTACCTAATGAAGGGTCCAGTGAGTATATAAAGCCGTAATCCTATACAGAGGCAATTTCATCCCTAGTGAGTATACATATTGTCTTGCTATATGTATCTGCTGCCAACCATCTGGATTTTTTTTTTCTTTCCTCAAGCCATTTTATGAGACCAACTGCCTCATGGGGCTCAGTGTGGTGCCACCGCGGATTCAGTTAAGAGGTGGGCTCATTTTGGTGGAAAGAGTGTGTGTGAGTGTGCATGTCCTTGTGCGTGAGTGTTATGCGGCTGAGTCTGTAGGCTGCCTCAAGCTGATAGATGGTGGAGTCTTCTGGCTTGGAAAGTGCTTTTCAGCCTGTCAGCAGCGAGCGAGAGAGAGAGAGAGAGAGAGAGACATTGTTTGGGATGCCTACACGAGCACTCAGCTGTGTTTACAAGGCAAGGCTGTACACTCTGAGGATGAATCCGCCCCGGCCCCCAATACAAAGCTGGATCATATGGACACAGAGCAACAGAACACTACCTTCACCACCGCACGCCCTCCACCACTTTGTCCTCCAATTAGTCACAGTGTTGCTGCTGAGGTGAGACAACAGAAGAAGCTTGTATCCCCTGCAGACCTCGCTAGAGGACCTTTATTAGCGTATTGATAACGCCGACATGTCAACACTGCCCCCTCTTGCCTGGAAGGATGCCCACATCCCGGCCCTTCGTGAGGGGGCCATCACCAAAGTCGTTACAAAAAGAAAACAGCTGGAAACATCATCGGGCAAGAGGCTACATACTGTAATTAGTGAGACACGATGGGCAATAAATAGGAATTCTCGGAATGCACAGTAAATGTAAAAAAAAAAAAAAATAATTGATTCTCCCATTAAACTACAAAAAAATGTTTGGAGTGAACAAGATTTAGCATATGTCTTCTTGCAGTCAGTTGCACATACAGCAGTTTTTTTCTCTGTCAATTGGTATAATATTATCCAATCAATACATGTCACATACCACTGTCTCATACTGTCGGGCTAAAATTTCTGATAGCGTTTTGACAGTTTTGAACTTATTCTCATTATAGTGTCTCTTTTTCTTTTAACTTTACAACTTTTGTTCACGTAAATGTACTTTTTTGTCAGAGTAGCTCTAATACTCCTTAGTCATTTATCCCTCAGTCACAGACCCGAAATAATTGCATTTTCACAACTAACAAGTGTTCAAGTTAGCACCACACTCATAAAATTACAATAAGTCCACTTGAAAAGAAAAAAACACATTCACACAAAAAGCCACAGGAAAAAAACGAACACTTAGTTAATGTGCATGAATGATAATGTGTAAAAAAAAAAAAATCACAGAGATTGTCTTTTTGGTCCCAAAAATAATCAAAAAGTGGTTTCTGTGTTTACATTCTGTGTTTTGGTCATTTGAGTTTGAGGGTGAGAAATTTAGAACAAAACATCAACCTTCAATTGAAACAACAGTTATTTCTTAATATGTTCACTGGAAAAAAAAAACAGACTGAGAAGCCTGAAGGCACTGAGCTAATTTGAATTCAAGTGTTGTCTCCCTGCATGTATAAAATATGTCTTAAGTAAAGGCAAGCAACAACTGGAGACTGTGATCAGTTCCACAGGGGGGCTGCTTGCAAAATGCTTTGAGTGTGGCTTTACATTAAATAGGGAGGGGGTCGGTTCAACTGAAGAGTGCAGGTCAGGCTCCCAGTGTGAGTGCTCGTAAAACACAACAGGCGTCCTCTTCAAATGTCCCAGCTGTCACTGAAGTACTGGTCCTCTTCCTCCTCTTCCTCCTCCTCCAAAGTCTTATTTTCCACAGCCTCATCATCATCCTGCAATTCATGAACATTCACGTCCTCCTCCACTTCCTCTCGGAGCAGAGCGAGCATGTTTTGCAAAGTGGCTTTAACTTCCTGAACTTGCCTCTCCAGTGACTGTGCGGCGTCGGTTAAGGAAGACTCTGATGGAGTTACGGACTTGCACTGATATCAACATAAGTGGTACAAATGTCAGGGCGAACGATGTGGCACTCGCAGCTCTGGATGCTTAACAGTAATAGCGGTGATCTGATGAAGACATTAATGTCCAATTTGACCAGTGAACTGATTACAGGGACCGATCATCACTCCGTAGTCAAGTTAACCCCATGCACTTGAAGAGCGAATTGGAGCAATTCGCTATTCATGATCTCATCAGTGGTGGTGGATGGCAGGACCTAAGCAAAGCGACTGTGCAGGTGCATTATTCATGAGCCATCAATGAACGGGATAGAGGCTGTCGTCACAGGGGGTTGTTTAACCTGCTTGGAAACCCAAATCAAGCCTGCAAGGGTCCAGCTTAAGCGTTAAATCAAAGGGGCGGTCTGATGGCAGATGGAGCCCGATGGCTCGTTTTACAGTTTCAATGGACACAGATTGTCTCCATCCATAATTAAATGGCCATTAAAAAAGCCTGGATTCCACAGAAGGTTCGACATCACAGCTTGGTGAAGGTTGTTCAATGTGTACTTCCACCATGGCTTCCCTTTTGGTGTTTAGAGGCAACACAAAGTCTCTTCACACTAAGAAAAAAAATGCAAAAGCAACTGATAAAAAATATTTGTCGGATTTGTTCATTACTCAGTGATTATCGAATTAATTAATTACTCATAACTCATCACCGTTTGTCTAATTAATATACCGACACTATGTGTGTCCAAAGCATCTTGAGGCCAATGAAAAAGTAACAGGACACCGCACCGCATTGCCAAATGTAAAAGCATTTAGCTCCAAAACACGCTTTCTGAAATGCCACAAACCTTATCCCGCAATTCTGAATGGCTAAAAAAAATGCATACAAGCCCAGCTCAAAACAGAAGCAAGACAAATGACACTGCAATCAGGAAACACAATGTTTGAGAAGAGGCAAATCTGTCTTTGACATCTTGGTAACAGAGCAAGGGGCCAAAGTGACCCTGATAACATGATGGAAGGCTGAAAAGCAGGAACAGGAAAATGTGTAACGCTGGCCTTTGATTGGCTGTCTGGTGCCTTTTGTGCAAAGTAAAGGCATGAGGTTCATCTTCAATCCCTTATTGGGCTATCAAACTTTCTGCAACGAATGAGGAAAAACACACTAATCTACATACAATCAGCTTTCTAATTAGCACGAAAAATGAAGCATTGTGACCTGCAATCAGCTTCACCCCTTCCATGTGACTCATTATCATGAATATTATAATGTTCTCCCAGCCAGATTCAGCAGGCGAGAACAAGTGCAGAGTGGTTGGTGTGTGTGTGTGTGTGTGTGTGTGTGTGTGTGTGTGTGTGTGTGTGTGTGTGTGTGTGTGTGTGTGTGTGTGTGTGTGTGTTTGGGCGGGGGGGGGGGGTGAAAAAATGAAGTTGAAGGTATGAAAGCTTTGCAGTCACGACAGTGACATTCCTCTATTTGCCATAGTGCTGCCCCTGTCTTCATACTTTAATCTCAGTGGCCGAGAAAAGCAGCCCGCGGTGGCAGCCCTCCAATAACCTCATTTGGACTTTTACCATGTTATTTCCTAGGTAGCACATCCTGCCCGTCAAGAGGAACGCGCTGATCCCCGCTCAGCTTCAATTCCGCTGAATGTCAAATACGACAGCTTGAGCTATTTATTCTCCATCTAACATTAGAGAGCTAACATTTGGTAGCGTGCAAGTGGCTAAGCCTCCAGGAAACAGCGGGGCTCAAAAATAGTTTGGGGGGTGGGGTGAGAAACATTTATACTGTTTTTAACATCTGTATACCGTATTTTCCGCACTATAAGGCGTTTCGGAGTATAAGGTGCACCTTCAATGGATGGCCTATTTAAAAACGGTTTTCATATATAGGGCGCACCGCATTATAAGGCGCATAGAATTGAAGCCACAATAATGGCTGCGGTTGTGTTATGCATCTATTAGATGGAGCTACGCTAAAAGGAATACAATACAACACAGCTTTATTTATAGAGAGCTTTCACAACCGGCTGCAGCTATAACAAAGCACTTTACGAAACATGTAAAATACTACGTCCAAGAAATCTGAATATTGATCCATATATAAGGCGCATCAAATTATGAGGTGCACTGTCGGCTTTGAGAAAATTTAATGCTTTTAGGTGCGCCTTATAGTGCAGAAAATACGGTACTTGGAAGGAAAGGATATCAGCAAGGGCCTGATCCTGGTTCAGTATGGCCATCTGCAAGTCGTCCTCCAAGGTCATTAGTCTGTCACTGATCAGCTCACAGCGCTCGGCGAGGTCTGCTGCCCCATCATCGCTGGACACATCCTGCGGGGAGAAGGCAACAATGGAGGAGGAGGAAAAACACTCTTGCCTGCGTGACCATAGTGAGTATACTCAAAGTGATGCTTTGCCATGAAATGAAAAGAAGAAAACAATCGTCATTCGTTAAAGGGATACTCAATTTACACTTGCTAAAAGCCACAATAGGCCAAACGTCGTGCACAGAAGCTCACAGGTTGACGAAACAGCTCAGTTCTGAAATCACAAATGTGGCCTTGCCCCTACAGGCACACTTACAACACTGAATTTGAATTATAGAATTCACTTTATAAAACTGGTCTGTTTGCTTTACATTCTCTCGTATCATGTTTTACTGTCTTTTTATACAATGCAGTACAATCTTTCATTATTAAATGTGGGGGTTGTGAGTGCGGTCTGGAATGGTGGAAAAAAATGATTCGCATTTCAATTGATTGAGCTTTGTCAAGTAAATAGTTGCAGGATAAATAAAACTTTGTCCATTTGGACGATAACCATGGGTCTCAGAGAATTATCAAACCAGTGTGCAATGTGTTGGTATCTGATAACCGCTGCGGGTATCTGGTAGTCAATATTGACTTCTTGGATTGAAATTTATCTGAGGAGAAGAAACAATGCTTGGCAATCTTCTTTTACTGCCTGTATGCACCAACCAATCACAATATTTTGGCCACTTGCACGATCTCATGTGATCTAATACAAGAGCAACATAAAAACTTCTGCCTTTGCAAGGACAATAATGCTCAGTTTGGAACTCTCAGAAATGTATAAATCAAATCGTGTTTATTAATGCCTGGATAGTTTGCTGCGTTGTTGACTTGCACTGCATCATAAAGAGAACTGAGTGTACTATTTGGATTCAGTCATGTAGCTACAGGAGATAACTAAAATAATAGTAGCATCTCCCAGTATGATGCAGTGCAGTTGGACAACACTGCCAATGACCTACATTATTATATTTCTCTTTTAAGAATCTAGGCATTCAATTAAAGGCATATACACACACACACACACACACACACACGCACACACACACACACACACACGCACGCACGCACGCACACACACACACACACACACACACACACACACACACACACACACACACACACACACACACACACACACACACACACACACAAACATTTTTGTACCTGTATATATATATGTCCACACACAGGATAATTGTTGAGTGTCTTTTGGAGAGAAAATCAACCATGCTTGAACCAAAATGAACTAACTTCCTTTATGGTTGCTTCAGCCAGGGAAGGACGATAGGACTACCAATGGACCCATCACTGCTGAATCCTTAGGACAGCCATCTTACGTTGCCACTGTTACTGACGACCTTTGTTTTTCTTTTCACTGAGAGCACTGTTATCAGTGCGTATTTTTGGCTGGCACATTACAATCCAGAATGATGCAGAATGTGTATTTTGAATAAGTGGAGAATTGTTGACTGGCAAACAATAAGGATAAGATGCCAAGGTCGTATGTGCTACAGGTGACCTGGCCGTGCTGTGAGTGTGGAGAAAGTCAGGTTGATGTGGGAGCACAGTGCAGTAGGGCACTTCAGCATTGAGGGTACAGAGCCGGCCATAATTAGAGCAGCCTCTTTTGAAGACATCGTGTCCTAGTTTCTTCTTTTTTTTTTTTTTTTTTTTTTTTTTTAAACGGGCAAGGAGAGCACATGCACCCAAGCACACACAAGAGTACACACAGACGCTTAAATCAAACACCAACGTCAAGAGTCAGATCCGACTCATGGCTGCAGGTACAAAGCAGAAAATACCAACTCCCTGCAGCTCAAAGGTTTCACAACAATGAGAGGCGAGTCAATTCTCTGCATTGTGAATAAATAGCGCTCCCTCTTAGAGGATACGACACACATGTACAACAAACAACAACTAAAAGCCAGAGGCACTACATTGTGATGTACCCGCCATCTCCAAAGCAATTGAGATTAACAAACAAAACCAGCCCAAGTAATGATTCTAGATAATGCCTTCAAGATAACATTCTCCTTTGTGAGGCACTTTAAGTGTATGTCAGTCCTCACAAAATACGTATGAAACTAGGATTCATGTCCTTCATCAACACAAGGAAAGTCGGTCAAGCTAAAGCGTCGCTTTGCTGTTTGTTTTCAGGCTGTAAAGGTTAGCAGCTTCTTTAGTAGATAAGAGCGCCATGTTTGTGGAGCTGATTGATTCTATTCTCCAGCCTCCAGTCGCTCTTGCTAAAAAGTCAATACGACCTGAGGAGAGAAAGCTCAGTGTACACACTGTGACATTCCCGATAGGTTTGTTTGTGACTTTCTACAAAGACGATATTCATCCATTCAACAGCTGTCATCGTGATCAACACAATGCACCCTTCTTGCTATTGACAAATGTGATTTCAGTGTCATTTGCCTGTCAAACTGCATGAGTCAGACTTGCGAGTTCCGGCACTGCATTGTGGATTGTTTGATGAACATGAGTTGTAATGTTCGGGGACCCCCAGTAAACAAAGCAGGCGTAATCAAATTATGTCGAAAAGCAATACTCGGATGCACATGGGCCTTGTCATAGTTATCTCGGCAATCAAGACTCATAGGCAGCTTATGACTGTTGTGCCCTCCCTCCCGGGGTCCTCTTCAGTCAGATACTGTAAGATGCATCAACATGGCACCAGCTGTAAATTCATGGTCAGGGTGACTTAAAAATAAAAAACTGATTTAACCTCAATAGTACAACAAATTGATTAACTTCTTTCTGTTCCACATTAAAAACAAGAACGTACTACTATATGACATTTTCAACTGCTTGTCCTGCCTAGGATCAAAAAATACACTCTGGACATGTCGCGATCCAAAAGCATGCATCGGACTAGACCATGTTAATTTGTAAGTAATTAAAAGCATTTAGTTTAGAGGGGTAACACCAGAATCCCATTAGAGCAAATGGTCACTACATACTTATTGCTAGTTTGCTGCTTCCATGCAGAATGAGGAGGGTACGAAAAGAACCTTGAGAGGATAAAAGAACAATTAGAAGGAAATTGAGCAGTGCCGAAACACACACACACTCACGCACAAATCAATCTCTATTGCGGCGGCGGGGCAACAGCTTGGCAGCAGCTAAGTGGAAATCATTTACTTAAAGTCATTACTGAGAGCAGAACGAGGTCAGAATGTGTTCTTGGCAGAGAATTCAGCTCTGCCACAAAGCCACATACACGTCGTCAACACCACCAGGATGAAGTTGGCATCTAATTTTTGAAGTCAGTGATGGGGATCACAGTTTATTTTCTCTTTATGCATTCATGTAAATTTATTTTTTCCATGAGCGACTGTGCATCTAAAGTCGCTGGCAGAGGCTCACCATTCAAGTGTCAATCAAAAAGAAGCACAGCAGTGTTATATTTGACATTCATTACCATTCAGGTCAACTGTTAATATTATGAATAATCCAAGCCCAGTAAATTCCGAGAAGTTATTCATCCATGAGTACACTGAAGTAGAATTCGCACTCCCTGTACAGCAGATGTAAATGGGCATTGGTATGTATCTAAGGTATGAACATGGGAAAATAAATAAATAAAAGTTTGAAAATTGTGTTCACATGCAGATCGCTATTGATCAGTCACAAATGTAGCTGAGTCAAGTTTGAGTCCAGGTCAACTAATGGGCTGTTTCTGTGTTCCAGCACACCGACATTAATAAAAGTGACATTTTAATTACAGCGAGAGCATTCAGGCACACAGTGAAGCGATTAACATTACCAACCTGTGGATTGTTATCCTCCATGCAGAACAAAAACTCCTCCAATTTCTGCAACAAAAGGGAAACGTTTCTTGAAGCCACACACCCGTAAATCGGCTCATGAATTATTGAAAACACAATTTACGTCGGTTGCCGACTATATGTGAGCAGCAGGGCATAGTAATGATTCTGGAATTATTCATCAGCAAATGTGACGAGAGAACAACAGACTAAATGGCTCATCTGGACAGCAGAGTCCTTTGTTAGTATTCAAAGTGAGGTAATTATCTCATGCAGGCCAACGTATTGTTTGTGGCCTCAGGCTATATGCTCAGATGTGCACGTATATGCAAAGGTTCAATTATAAGTTTTAATTAAAAAGTTACAACTCATTTAGATTATGTTTTTGAATAAACATGAGTGAAGTTCACCTGCAGTTTCCCGACACTTTCCCATATACGGGCAGCCATTGCATTTGTGGGCGTATATGTTTACTATCGTCACACCAATTGATGCCATTTCATTTTAATGTGTCTTTTCTAGAGTAAAAACTATAATTTTGCTGTCATCCCGCCAGCTGACTTCACTCACTACATTTTATCCCCCAGCTACATAATCTGTCACATACTGTTTTGTGGTTCTAAAAAGATGAGACGAGTTGGCTGCAGCGTTGAAAACATGTCAACTGAATAACAATTACAGTGACCGTTTTTTGTTTTTTTTTTTCCCCTTGAGTCGAAGACAGCCGTTATAATCTATCTGGGTGGAAAGGAAATGTTACGTTTTCTCGTGTAGGTCATTCATGTGTTGTTGTATATTGAACTAATTTTACTATTTTTCATGCGAAATGCATGTAGAAAAGATCCAGTCTTCAACAACAAAGGGTTTGAACAATCAAAAATAACCACATACTATGAATTTTTTTTTTTCGAGGGCAAAGGTTTCCTTATAAATAAAAATGACTATTCAAGGGCATCACCAAAAAAACAAACTGCTGAACAGCAACCTAACATTAAATGCAAAAGAACACATTTTGTGCATTTTTTCACAAAAATCAAGTCATTCAAAATTGTAATGTTTTTCACATACAATTGTAATAAAATAGGGCAGTATGAGACCCGGTGCAAGTGCAACTAGCTCATATCTTCCATCTAGTGGTGAATGATAATATTACAACTTAAAAGTACGATTCATGGGGAATAGGGACCGGGCCAAAACCCACATGTATACGTAATAGATGGTGGTTAGGGTGAATAAGACTTTTTTTTTTTTAATCCCCCAAACTCCGCTGACAAACCTTAATCGAGGGCCCACTTAACGTGTGGGCTGCCAGTTGCCCATCCCTGCGATAGAGTTTGTATATACCGTATACAAAATCGATCTTTTTTATAACTCGGGGTGGGGGCTGAGGAATGAACTGTGCACAGCTTGGTTGGCTCTCTCACCTCTGACTTCTTGGAGAAATGTTAGGAGAGGCTAGGCTTTAGCAGGAAAACAAAAGCAGAGAGAAACAAAAGGAAAGCAGAAAGTAGATTCTTGCGGTTCATATAATATAATGCAGTCAAGGCAATGCAGGTAGCAAGGACACAGGTGCAAAATGTAGATTTAGGGTCATGCACAGCAGGATGGTTAGAAGCTACAGCCTAATGGGAAGAAACTGTGAGGGTCCACAGTGGGATGGCCATTAAAATAGATTTCCTTGGAATATATTTCCTATAACAAATTAACAATTCACTGGTCAATACATTGTCATTTTTACATACTATTTCAATATGGGTGGGAGAGTCTTAATTGTCTGAAGTCTCGTTCCAATGCCAATGTTGGGTATTGGGCAGAATAATGCATGCTCCTTGAGACCACAAAGGGCTTAATCAACAGTGCTTCTGCTGGTTGCAGCCAATTAGTGCCCTCCATTTTGCCTCAACTACTTGATGACATAATTAATCACCAACTTTCAACAATTAGTTAAGAAATGAATTGACAAAACTGACACACTTATCATACAGTACGAGCAACTCATTCTGATTTTCGGAACATGAGCTGCAGCTGAAAAACTGCAAATATTACATTTCTGAGATGCAATCTAGCAAATATAGCCTGGCAAAAAAAAAAAAAAAACATGTCTGGCAAGTTTTCTGTGGGTTTTTTTATTTTATTTTTTGATGGCTGCTGGCTATGTTGACTTAGTTCTTATCTCAGACGAGACTGTCAGACATCGTGGGCGGAGGCGAGTGTGAGGAGAGGAGTGAATGATTCGGGCTCTGCCCTGGAGCAGTGGCTTCAAATCACTGGTGAAATAGTACCCGTTCACATGGATGCACAGGTCCACAAGCCCTCTCACAAACAACACACATCATCATGAACTACATGGTAGAATTTGTAGTAAAGAGGACAATGTCTCTAAAAGGTTGCCTCTCAAACATCTTTTTTTTCTTTTTTTTTTTTTTTTTAGCATGGAGCAAACAGTGATAAGAGTGTGAGCTCGTCTTACTGTTGCCATACTGTACAAAGTTAGCACTCATTTGTCGAACAAATGGTTTATGTGAAATCTCTTTTGACCTTTTAGAGACAAGCATGTAAGGAGCATGCAAAAACTGAAACGTCACAAAGGGCCACGATTTCAGACACAAATCCGATTTTACATGAGTGGCACCGCATGTGAACAAAGGCATCACATATAGTTCATAATACATTGTGTCGTTAACGCGACATGTACAGGTTGTGTTACCTTCGTGAACTCGGAGTTCTGTAAATTGGCCTCGGGACACCAGCGACCGCCTAAAGCCGTCAACATGGCGCTGTCTTCTTCCTCTTTGGCACACATTTGCAGTGAAGCACAGCCATTTGTGGCGAGATGGTCGTCCACGTCCGCTCCGCTGCAGATGGATGTCCGTAGCTGCAAGCCTCGTAAGAACAGGTGACACGCCTCCAGGTCGGCTTCCCAAATCCGCTCCAGGCCCGAGCAGCTGCAGCTAACATCAAATGAAAATATGAAAATATGATTAACGCCAGACAATGTAGCATTTTCATTCAGCAATTTTATGCAAGTGTGATAGCAAAAAAGAAGTGCTTCTTCTTTATCTCAGAAATGGCATTGTAATTTGAGTAAAGCAAACTTCATTTGCTTTTAGGAAATTAAGAAAATACCGTGAACCCTGGCACATTTGCGAATTCACCATTGCACTTTTTGGGAGGAATCTACCGTTCATTATATGGCGAAATACTCACATATAATGATGCCTTATCATAACGTTGTCCAACTCCTCTGATTTCAGCCTATCAACAGTAATTACTCTCTGCTTATTAAAGTTATTCATGAGAGCAGATTAACTATCCTTTTGTGTTTGATCAAAAAGACATTTGCAAAAATCTGCTTTTACTTTGGAATACAATGACTAAACAAGTTACTGAATCCGTTTCAAAAAAGTAAAAAAAATAAATAAATAAATAAAAAAGAAAACAACCTCATAACCTCTTGTGTGATGTTACTTCGGTGTTGTTTTTTTCCCTAAACAACATCAAATACACAATAATTGCTTTATAATCGGTAATCGGAGAAAATGGTTTTGTAATACAATTAGATTTTTTAAAAATAAATTTATAGCAGATTATTTAATCAATTCTAAAATGATTCAATAGGCCTACTCCAATGTGAAGATCGTGTTATGTTCTCATGTCAGAGCGAGAGTTCAGGGCAAAAAGAGTGTTCTTTTTCTTCAAACTACTATTGAGTTTTTTCCACCCCTTTCTTGGCCTGACCCTGTGACATCAAACACGTAACAGTGATTCATAAATGAGCAACATAGCAATTGATCAACTGCTGTGGTTTCCTTTGTGGAAGCAAAGCCTATTGCAGCAGGAAATCTAATTCAGTCACATAATAAACATGCATCCATCCATTTTCTATACCGCCGGCCCCCATTAAGGTCACGGGTAAGATGGAGACGATCCCAGCTGACTTTGGGCACAAGGCGGGATGCTTTAATAGAGGTCAACTTCCCAAACTGAATTTATATACTGTATATGAGTTTTGTTACCATTTAATCTCTGCAGAGTTCATGATGCTGATGTATCGTGCAGAGGGTGATTTGCATCAAATTGTAAAAGAAAACCCATTGCCAAATTATTCACCTTAGATCACTGATCTATTTTTATTGCCCTTTGTCATTTCCTGACCTTTAGGTAATGCATCATTTCCAAAGATGTGTGGCCATAGGTGACATTTTGGCAAACAAATGTTTGTGTTGACCTTGTTTCTCGATATTTTTTAATCTCCCTTCAAACAGAATGGGAAAATGTCACAGTCAAGGGAAAAGATATATTGCTTTAGCAAAAAAAAAAAAACAAAAACAAAAACTATGATTCCATCATGTGCAGGAAGGAAACAAATGAAAGGTGACAAGATGGAGAAATGTAACTTTGTGATGCTTCAAAACATCATGTCAGTTCAAATGTCCTCCATTTCTATTTGCAGCCCTGTTGTGAACTTTCAAAGGCGAAATGATCTCTTCCGAAGTCCAACCGAACAAACTTTTCGTCTGCTAATTTGGATTTTGAACCGCGTTTGATTACTGTCAAGTAACATTTTAGAAATAACTGCATCATCATTGTTTGACACAGGCAAATTCAGTGCTTTAAGTAGGGGAAAAAAAACTGATTCATCTGTTGCCGGGTAAATTAGCTGGTGAGTACTGGCAGATCATTAAGTTAAATAATGATGAAATATATAACGGACAATAAGTAGAGAATAACTAAGTAACTAAATACATTCAACTCAAAATGTAAAATATGCCCGTTTAGATTTTATGAACACAAATTTAGTGCATTATAGGGCAGGATTCCCTCTTATTTTATATGTGGACCATGAATGAACCAGATCCCAAAGTGCAATTTAAGGCCTATCGTCCTATAAATATAGAGAATGAAGTACAAAAAATAAGTCTTAGTCCACATTATGGAAAAGGGAGAAAAGAAAGAAAGCAAAGCAATGCAACGGTCGTCAGATGCTGGTACCAGGTGGGCACTCGCAAGTAGCAGTTTGCCGCTAAAACCCGAGATAGGCCGGATCATACGATGACGGCATAATTAACGGTTCAGTGTCCTTTATTAGCGAGTGAATATGATTTCAGGATGGCAACGTGTTGATGTTGGTATCAACTTTGTGATGGCAACAGGGATGAACGCTACACCGGTAACAAAACGTATGCAGACGGTGTGAAACCCCTCCCCCGATTTCATGCTCTTCGGCAGTAATGAAGCTCCCTAAAATTTAATTCCAGTTTTTACTCCAGTTTATCTCATCATGCCTAAAAAAGTCTGCCACCGCTGAGCCCTGCCAGCGGCATGCCCATCAGCTCTCGTCTAACCGTCATTTTAGCACCAGGTGATCGAAAAACCGCTCATGCCAGCAGTCCTGCACTTTTCAGCTACTTCTTCTCAATTGTGTAGAAGAAGGCTGCACCCATTGAGCCATGCTACTGTGATATTGCTTCTTTTGAAGAGGTAAGCACACACAAAGAAGTCACTGTGGGGAATTAATCAGGTAATCTTCTCAAAATGTCAAAGTTGGCCACATCTATGTCTCCTCCCTGTGACTGCTGGTTTGAAGGCTTTTTGCTAGATTGTCAAAAAACACGACAGCTCCGACGCAGCCTTGTGATGGTGGCATCCTGGTGCTCATCTGTATCAAATCCTTAGCCAGGGGTTAATTGGTAAGGGCCACTCAGCCTGCTGTTTGACAGTGACAGGGTGTGGGCGTGCTGCTTCGTTGTCTTTGGGCCGCCGCCCTGCGACTGCTGACTGGCAGGACTGCACTTTCTCCTCAAGTCACTACACTCAACTCAGATGCAGAGGAACAATCGTGACTTGACGTACGGAAAGAAAAAACTGTGTTCTGGTTCCGATGGCACCAGGGCTACTTGACCTCCCCGCAGAGAATAGCACACCTTATATCTTTAAGTTAAATTCCACTTCAGGTTCCACAGATGAATAAGAAGCATGAGGCCACAAAAAAAATGAATGATTGTTCCATTCTTTCATTTTGTCCCTGATGCAAAATGATCAGGGGATTCATGATGTTGAAGTTAATTTAACAAGAGACAAAGTTTGGATTCCTTCCCAGTACGTCGGGATTGTGAATAAACTATGATCCATCGATCCTTCCCGGGCCACCTCCAAGCTGGAAACGCCTGTCAAAAGGATGCCAGGGCACTTCAAATGGCCCATCCAGATGTGGAGGAGCATTGGCTCTAGTTTGAATCTTGCCAGGCTTTGCAGTCTCTTTTGTCCACCACAGGCCTGCCCTCAGACTGTTTTCTAAAAATTTAGGCTTCTCCCAATTTGAGTGTACCATCATGGTGCACCATGGGTGAACACATTGGGTTTATTTTTATTGCATAAGGTCATTGTTATTATGATTAACTGGCAAAAGGAGTGATGACTTGAATCGTTACATGCACATTGCACATGCACGTGTGTCCATGCACGATTTAGTGGGCCGAGGGCTTTTGTTTTTTGCTTTTTTTTTTTTACTCTGAATAATTTCCAGTTGTTGTGTTCAATTTATTTTGAGCACGTTGGCACTTATCAAAATGGCGTATTTTGATTTTCGTTTGGGAATTTTAGGGGTGACAAATGTATGAGGTCTGTTGACATAACTTATGTCGCCAGCAGCTCATGAAGGAACCCACTTACATTGTCTGGTGCCACATTGGCAAAACAGTAACAATGTTCCAGTCACACATAGATCTTTGCTTCTTCTACCTGCCGTATGTGAGTGTGTTTAAATGTGTTCAAGTGAATGGGTAGGAGCCGCTTTGACAGGCGGCTGAGTTCATACCCACAATGGCGCAAGCTGCCTTTTTTAAAATGTGCCCGCTTGTGTGCACCTGTGAAAGTCCCGCCTCCACGTAGATTTACGACCTGCCAGACTTTCACCTGTGACGGAAATAGAGCACTCAGTGTCAAGTGAGCTGAAGCGTGACACAGATTGCATAGTGTGAGTTCAACCGAAAGGCGTGTCTGGACAACCTGCAGAAGACACCCATTTTTTTTTCCCTTTGCTGTATCCACAACTTTGTCCTTTTCTCAGCTACTCAATTTTTTTGCAAAGTATGAAGATTGATCAACTGCAAAATCATTCCATTTACTCTGTACAGTAATCGCAACACTGTATCCTTCCCAGACTTAGTGAATCACAAGATTCTTGAAACCTCGGGGCATTCAATATGCATTCTTTATCCAACGCTGGCCTTGAATCCAGAGATGATTATTTGCTATCCACGCAGACTTGGTTTCAAACCATTCCAATGAGAGATAAAGGTTCACGCTCAGTTAAAGCCAACAGGAGCAACCACATCATTACCAAATAGAAGACAAAAGTTCATGCAGGTACATGAAAACGGTTCCTCAAGAACACCTTTCCTTTTACAAAACTTATAAAGTGCATTTGAATTTGTTAATTAGTAAGGAGTGGGAGATGGGTGACTTAATTGTGTCAACATCTCACATAGCACCCGCTGAGCAGAGGTGCTAATAACATGGTGAGAACCAAGGCAGTGACTATTGGAGGGAGTGTGATGGATGATGCATGGCGCAGTGAACGCTTTGTGAGGTGGGTGGTTTGATTTCTGGGAGGTTTTTAAAGCAGCCATCTGAGCAAACAGGGTTGCTCTGTTCGACACAATTCACACATGACAGATGCCGCTTGGATGCTCCCAGAGCGCCTTTAGTTTGATCTCAAAGAGCATTTCTTTTTTTTTTTACTCTTAATTGCCTCTCTATTTTGTATGATATTTGCATCACAGGTATTCAAATATGATAAATGGCACCGCGAAGCATTTTGTTCATTTAGAAAATGTACATTTATATTACATGACTGAGCTAACCCTCCGAACATAACGTTCTTGTCCTGGTGATACATTTACAACATCGGTGCAGCGTTCACATCCGGTTTTAGTCTTTAGCGCGAAGAGATAATTACTTTTTTTTTTTTTTCAAATGCATCCGTCGCCACGGAGACCAGACGTCTCACCAGCGCTGGTACATTTCTCCCTCCCCCAACCTTCCTTCCTATCCTCACCTCCCGTCACCTCAGCACTCCATCACCAGTGATGTACATTGAAGCAGACTGAAAAGATTTACAGTGGATGATGGATGAATGTGCATGTGTATGTGTGAAATTGCACTCTATGTTCAAGCAAAATATGTGTTACTGTGCCACATGGGAGCACAAGGAAGCCACTGGGCCTTACCTGGAGCTGTTTGTTGTGTTTGTGGCTATGTCAGCTTCAAATGACACTCATTTATAGCTGTCAAATAACTGACTTGAATGTAACTAAGGTACACTCATAAATGTGGTATTTTGTTTTGCTATCAAACTGGTGATGATACCAATTGAATGCATCTACTGAATCTATATTTTTTGAACAAGAGGGGAAGTGAATCAAAGTTACTGGCTGCTGCCTTTAAACAGATGAAAGCCATTGTCAGGTGATTTAATAATTAATAACACACGCTTTAATAATAAGATCACACGACTAGACACAAGCTGCTAGTTGCCGTGAAATACACCAGCTGTTCGGAAAACTTGCAATATTTTTCTCAAATGTCCCAAGAAAACAAAAAAAAGAAATCTGAATAAGGGGGCGTACAAGCTGTCAAATAACTCATGTGAGACAGAAGGAAAAGTGGGGAAAACAAAATGGATGATAAAAGATATGAGTGCATGAGGTGGTGGGTGAGCTGAGTGAGGACAATGAAAGTGAGTCCTTGGGGGAGGTTGTTCTGTTTCTGCCTTGTTTTTTTCCAATTCCTGTTGAAAAAAAGGGCTACTGTGTACTGTATGTGCTAACATGACAAATATATTGGCAAACAACTTACCTGTGCAGCCTGTCTTCCAATAGCTCAATATACTTGACGGCATTGTCTTTCAGCTGGCTTTCTACATGAAGAGAACAAAAGAAGAAAACAGCACATTGAACTCAATTTACTTCATTCTCTACACAACGGTAACAGGGTATCTTAGCAACTAATCACAACTCTAATATAATTAAAAGCCATTGTCCTGAAGTATATTGTGGATCATCACAGTTGGTGAGGCTATTGTTCGACAGTGTAACAGAGGACTAGCTGTCTCTCTTTGTCTCAAGATGAGCACATATGGTACTTGATAAAAGATGGATTGGAACTTGAGATGGTTCGAGCGAAAGAGAAGATTTGATCAGTATATGTTACATGTCCTCATATGGCACCAGTCTTTCTGCAGGGCGTTCAACTGGACGGCGAGCGCGTTGCTTTCTGTAGCACCCTGCCAGCTTTCAGCTGTGCCGTGAGCACGTAGACGCAGGTTGGCTGAGCATTAGTTTAGGAGTTAGGATGAAGGGCGCAGGCAAACTGAGCGTCGTTAATGAGCTCATGTATGAAACATGAAAACTTGCCCCCCCGGAGCAGCACATTTTAAAACGCAATGGGAGGCATTTATATCAAACTGCTGCCTCCTTTGAGGGTTTATTCGAAAATTCTCCTCTCTCTATATCTATATCTATAGATATAGATATACCTGTATATTTTTTGGGGGGGAGGACACCTGGTATCTGTCAGAGCCATCCACCCAGCTTGGAGGTTACTGTCAACACCGTCTTTTCCCTGCACATTTTCTCACTTGTTCTATGTATGCTTTGCCTCCCAGAACCTTGCACCCTGCTGTGATATGCAGCACCATCTCTGTGGCTTCTTTGCACAGCCTGCATCTGGAGTCAGCTTTTAGGGCCCGTTCTCGTACTGCCATGATAAAACTATTGATAAAACTATGACAACCCTGCAGAGTACACCTGATCTGTTAATTTAATCTGTTAAATATATTTGGCAGATATCTGATTTATGTCAGACTATATATATATATAAAATTATTTATTTATTTATTTATTTATTTTGGTGGGAGGGGGGGGGACTTGATTACCCAGCGGGAACCCACACAAGTGTGTGGACAGCATGCAATCTCCACATAGGAGGGCTTGAGTAGAGTTCAGTTCCAGGACCATTCAATTGTGAGGCACATGTGCTACCTACGAATACAATGCGCTGCCCCACGTGAACTCTGTGGCAGATATTCCCCATGTACTAATTCCACTATCAAAGGTACCAATGCTTCTATTTAGATCTCACTCTGAATGGTGACAAGAAATCTAATTGGTATTCGGCATTATGCTGTAGTTTGACATGCAATTTGTATTATTGTCTCGATGGTAGTTATTAGACTGTGTCAGCTCCGGTATGAGACAGGCGACAGGCAGACACAGCAGGGAGAAAGGAAAAATGGTTGAGTAACACACACTTACTAACACACACACACACAGTTCTATCCACACTTCTGTGCAAGCACAAGGCAGATAGCCAGGCTATTTCTGCACGCTGCAGGTGTATGGAGAGGGAGAAATCCCGTCTGAGACTCTCAGATGGTGTACATGGACAAGGCAGCTCACTTACCACCACTTTAATTGCCGTGTGATATCATGTCCTGCATGAATGTCTCGCACATTAACTTTCATCCATTCTTTCATTCATTTATTAAGCAGCATGCAAATAGGCAGCCACTGAATGATACATGGGGCAGGCTTTCCGCCTGACTTTGGATGGATGATTGAATGAGAGATGACAAAGTGGGCTTGGGCTTGAACAAGAGCAAGAGCCAGATTTAGATATAATTTATTGCAATAGAAAAAGACCCATGAAATGAAGATCGGTGATGCAGACATAAGTGTATTGAGTTCATATTTCCTCCTATGCGGATCCTGTTATATGCCGAGGAGAGTCGGCGCGCCATCTTGTCACCATGCCAACCGCAGGCAAAACTAGTGAGCCTTTGTAGGCATTACAGATGAAAGAAAGCTAATAGAATGGGTCCAGGCATCAAGCAGCAAAACCAACCCCTGTGCAAAATGAACCCAAGCAATGGGTGATATTACCACTTCCTGTAGGTCCGCAGGAGGCCTTGTCATTTGGCAGAACATGCGAATAAAATCAGTACTAAAAAGCCATTGAGGATGAGGAGCCACTGTTGTCGTCCGTGATACACGAGGCGAAGCTCAGCCTCCCATTGTGACAGTGATCTCAGCAGGTGCTCAAAACACTGATTCCAGATCCCCATAACTGGCTCCAAAAAGCCATCCAATCATAATACATGTAAATACATACATTCTGATGATTCATCACTTCCAATTGACCCATTTGCTTTGACAGGTTTCAATATTAACATTTAGTTTGAGTAAGTAAAGTGAGTAAGTAAGTAAAAAGTAATTAGCTCGATTGAGATCAAATTTAAAGTTGATTAAGAAGTAGATTAGAATGCATCGTATTTATCGAGACAAAGCAAAGAGAGCAGATTTACACACAGCGATACACAAAGTTAATGGATTATATGAGCATTCGAAGAGCGCAGTAATTGAAAATGAATAATACAGTAATTTCCTTACTGCCTCGTAACAATACCGAACATCTGTGGGGCTTCCGTGTTGTCTAACAAATTAGAGGCATCTCTGTGCTAATGCAGCGCCAATGATATGCATGTTATAAAAGCCTGAGCATAATAAGGCAGAAGAGCAATTGAGTGTCTTTGTAACTGAGCTGAAGGCATTGGCTGTGATGAATGTGTTTAAGCTTAGCTTGGGTTGTTTGAGAGCAAAGCGCTGAGGTAACACGAACACGCTCTGCATTATGCACACACAATGCACAGTGCGGATGAACGGAGTAGCAGCACTGGCAGTTGAAGAAAGGGGGCTCGGGCAACTGTGGGAGCACAAGGCAAAGCAATACCCAGACAACAGCTGGCACAGAGAACATATTGTGGGACTATGCATGAATGCACTCAAGGAACCCAAAAGGAGTCAGTTGACAAAAAAAAAAAATGTCTCCGCGCACATCTGTATGGTTGGAAGCAGTTTATATTTTAGCAATGCACCACTCTGCCTTATGCCGATGTCAGACAACACCAATCAAGCCTGAATTTGAGCCGACAGATTTGTCACAGACAAACGTAGTTTGTTCATGTGCCGTCTGGAACGCTTCGTGGTCTGGACTGAATCTTGACAGAAGTATGCGACAATTGGGCGGGGTCTGGTCGATGACGGATTTATAGTGTGATGTCTCACCCGATCCAAGACAGAGAATTATATTTATCTGGTAGTCTGACAGCGCAATCGTTGTGAATGACAAAAAAGTCGTGTTGTTTGACAAGGCCACTAAACGCTGCACAGCACATGCTACCATGAATCCACCAGCGTGAACAGCGTTATGCAAAAACAAAAATATTGATGGATTGATTTACTGAACATAGAAACACATTACAAGTTAGAAACGGACTACCGGTTAACTTTGGAATATGTTTCAAAACCCTCATGTTCACTTTCAGAGCCATCCATAATGTCATCTCACAATACCTGTTGTTCATGACACAGGTTGCCACCACATTTCACACACTTCTATCCACATTCTCTCCACCTGACTGCCCACCGCATCACATACCTCTCCTGGAACGCACTACCATCTGACCTGAGCAACACGGGCTCCTTTTCCCTTTTCAATTTCCCTTCCAAATCATTTTTTTACATTGATGTTCTTGCCTTTTTGTTTTGTTTTGTTTTTTGACACGGTATATTACAGTTTGAAATCGCCGATGGTATAGTGGTACACTTGTCTGGCATGCGTGCGGGCAGCATGCGATCGGTTTCCACTCAGTGACCGTGTAAATGGTTGTCTCTATGTGTGCCCTGCAACTGACTGGCAACCAGGGTGTAGTCCGTCTTCCGCCGGAAGTCAGCTGGGATAGGCTCCAACATCCCTGTGATCCTGTACAGGATGAGCGGTGTTGAAAATGTATGGATGGATATTACAGTGTGATCGTGTGTTCTTCTTTGTTGCTCTGAAAGGCACCTTAAACTAAAATGGTTGCGAGTGAACCGACACTAAACTGTTGTTCCTCTTTCGCATCCCGGCTGTCTGTAAATTTTTAAGCGAGTGTGTTTGTATGGGTTTCCTCAGTCATCTGCCTTTTGCCCGAAGTGAGCTGGGACAGGCTCCAGCAACCCCCCGCCACACCCACGACCCGCGACCCTGTTCAGGATGAGCGGTGTTAAAAATAGATGGATGGGTTTTTACGGTTCAAGCAAGTCCTATGAGCAAAAAAAATAGGCGGAGAAGGTCCCGTGCTTAAGTACAGAAATAGTTGTTCCCACAAAGCAGACCGAATATATGCATGCCTGTGAGCAATGCTGTGCTTGTATGTGTTGTTGCTCTCTGTGCATTATAGTCGTAGCTGTTTGAAGGTTTGTAATTACCGTAAGATGTATGCTAATTTCCAGTATCCCATCTCCAAATTAAAAGCCCATTTTTCACAGAATGTGCCCTTAAAAGGCAAAGGTGCATGAATGCATTTTGTCATTTCTCAGTGAATAGTGCATTGATTAATCCAAATGACAAAATCCAGCCATAAGCAAGAAATGAGAATCAGAAGGAATAAAAATTGGGGCTGATTAAAATTTGAATGATTCAGAGCTGATGAAAGACAACACTATTTAGTCCTATTGTTCAAGACAAGGATCTGATTTGGAGAGACCTTCGTATGAAATGATACCATGAGTACCTTATAAATTTCTGCATAACTGATGTAAGAAAGAAAATGTTGCACCAAATGACTAATGTCCCGAGTTCCTGAGTTGAAAAAAAAATCCCCTAAGAAAAGGCTCAAAGGGCACGGATGTGTTTAACTGAAAAAAAGAACAATGGACAAAAGACATGCATTAAGATTCTCCATAATTCTCTAGGCTTGCTCTACAAACGGTCTAAACCTACCCTCGTGCTCACTGTGAATAGCAACAATAAGTGACCGCGATTTTAATAATTTACAAGTCAGATGGACATGTGATTTTACAGTTAGTTGTCCGTTAG